GGGGCCTGATCAACAGATCTCAATGATGGCCCACATCAGCTGGTGGCTTCAGCTGATATCTTGCTTCCAGTTTGCAACTCTCACATGCAAGGCGGCTATTAAATTACTTTAGTTAGCCTACAGTTATTGCACCCTGCATGCTGCTTTGAAACCCACCTCCGTGTGGTGTCTGTCATCACTAACTCCTGCTCCAGCCTGTGAGTAAGGGGTTTGCTGCTGCTTTTTCCTCCTCTGGCTCTCTTTTTACGATTGTGGACGCACAGGGAGGTCCCAGAGCAAAGCCGTAATGCCAGATATGAAGTACTGCAGATGAAAATAATCAATCATCTTTTGGCTATAGTGGTCCTGGCTGAAACGGGCTCCAGCTGTTAAGAAATGCACTGTGAATCGATTCTCCTTTAACTGTGAAAGACTAAACGAAGTGCGTTATGTTCATTCATCGACTGGCGAGCATTACTGTTCTGTTCATTTCTGTACGCATGCAAGTTAAATATGCTGCGCCGTGTTTGGGTGTGAGGAGAGTGTGTACATATGTGTGCCTCACTCCCTTTCACTACCCTTTGAATGCTGGAGCTGTGTTTCCATGGCAACGCTGACCCCTGGGAGTCAATGTTATTTTTTTTCCACACAAGTAGCCTCTTTGCAATCCCTCTCTCTCTCTCCCTCTCTCTCATCCATCCTTCCCTCCCACTCTTCATCTCCTGTTCTCTCACCAACTCGCATTGCGTCTCTTCTTTTGCTATTGTGTACCAAAGTAATAAAGAAGAAAAACACTCTTTACTCATTATCTGCTCCTGCGCAGTCCATATTATTCAGTGGCTGTGTCAGCTCTTTCTCCTTTCAGGACATCTTTACACTGTTGACACACATTCGCGCACAAACACAGCGCATCAGAAACTCTCCTTCTTCCTCTCTGTATTCACACATCGTTCAGTCTCAGTTCATCTCTTCTTTGGATCTCTTTGTCTCCCGTCCTTTATAAGGACACCTCTAAAGACAGCTCCCACTGTTTTGCATCTCGCAAACAGGAGCCTTCGTCGTCCGTTGTATAATGTCGTCTTCATTTTATAATTCCACTGAATTCAAGATGGGATGTTATCATGCATGTGTAATCGTAACTTCACAGGTGAGACATCGCCTCGTTTCCCTCTCTGCTGAACATGAACAGTGTAAAACATCAGGAACATCTCTCTGATAAACACATTTGTGTAGAAAGACTGACTTTATACTTCCCTTTGGGATTGTAGCGGAATTAATTGCCTGATCAATAAAGAAACTAATCTATCACTTATATTTCTGCTGGGTAAATGTACTTTAAAACTTCGATAACTAAGTAATAAACTATCTCTTTTTTTTGCCCAACCTCCCACCAGGCCAAGCTGATCGTCCCCAACAGTACAGCAGGATTGATCATTGGTAAAGGCGGAGCTACAGTCAAGGCAGTGATGGAACAGTCTGGGGCGTGGGTCCAGCTATCCCAGAAGCCAGAAGGTATCAACCTGCAGGAGCGTGTGGTCACCATCAGCGGCGAGCCCGAACAGAACCGGAAAGCAGTGGAGATCATTGTCCAGAAGATCCAGGAGGACCCGCAGAGCTCCTCGTGCCTCAACATCTCCTACTCCAACATCACAGGGCCAGTCGCCAACTCCAACCCCACCGGCTCACCGTACGCCAACTCAACCGAGGTCATGCCAGCTGCCGCAGCCGCTGCCGCGGCTACGGCTTCTTCTCTGCTCGGCCAGGCAGGCCTGGCTGGGGTTGGAGCCTTCCCAACCACTATGTCCAGCCTATCAGGCAACGACTTGCTCGCCATCACTTCTGCCCTCAACACTCTGGCCAGCTATGGTTACAACACCAACTCTCTGGGCCTGGGGCTCAACCCCGCTGCTGCTTCAGGGGTTCTAGCCGCAGTAGCGGCTAATGCAAACCCAGCAGCAGCTGCTGCAGCTAATTTGTTAGCATCCTATGCCAGCGATGCATCCACCAGCGCTGCTCACCCTGCAGCCAGTCTTGGAGGCTTCTCTCTGGGATCCCTAGCTGCTGCTACAGGGGCCACCAATGGTTACTTAAGCGCTGCTTCACCACTTGTGGCATCATCTCTACTGGCCACAGAGAAGCTCGCAGAAGGAGCAAAGGAAGTGGTTGAGATCGCTGTGCCAGAAAACCTAGTGGGAGCCATTCTGGGGAAAGGAGGCAAGACGCTAGTGGAGTACCAGGAGCTGACCGGCGCCAGGATCCAGATCTCCAAGAAGGGCGAGTTCATTCCCGGAACTCGGAACAGGAAGGTGACCATCACAGGTTCCCAGGCCGCCACACAGGCTGCACAGTACCTGATCAGCCAGCGAATCACCTACGAGCAGGGGGTACGCGCCACCAACCCACAGAAGGTGGGCTAAACCTGACAGCCGATGAGAAACGAGGAGGAAAAGAGGAAAAAAAAAAAGAGTGGGGGCTTGGGGGAGGAGTATAAAAAAAAAGTGAGAATGGAAAAAGGAGAGGAGAGCAAGAATGTCGGGAAGGAATCGTTCGCACCGTTTTCTTCTGCGTGTTTTCAGTATTCTCTATTAAAAAAAAATTTTTTTGACGCAAAGCAAAAATGTGCTGAGAAGACGAGGAGGGAGAGGAGCGAGTTATTACGCTGAAAAACCAAGAAAAAAATGTGCAAAATGTAAATAAGGTTTTATTACTTAACGTCTTGACCTTTTGGGATTTTTTATTGTTTTGTTTATCGTTTTATTGTTTTGTTTTCGTTTAGTAAATTAAGCTGTCTGTTTGTTTGTGTATTGTGTGGACAGAGCTGAATGCCATGTAGACAGGCCGACTGCCTGAGAGGCTACAGGAAGTGGGGGGATGGAGGGAAGGGCATGGGCGCGGCGAGGCGGAGGGTTGGGGTTTACAGGGTTCAGCCCTCCACCGCCCCCGAACCCAATACGGAAACAACCCTTAGCCCTCCCTCCCCCTGCAGGCCACACCCATCACCCTCCAGTAGGGTTTTTGTTTTTTCTTCTAGGAGATTTACCCCAAACCCCTCGCCCCACCTCCCTTGAATGCCCCTCTCACTTTTTGCTCCCCTGACCCGCCCCTCTCCCTTTTACAAGGGTTTTATAACAAACAAGACTGCAAACCTCAGCCTGGTGTGCGAGAGAAGAAATGCCCTTGACTCCTCCCCCACCGCCGACACCTTCTATTACTTCACCCGCGTACGATCGTACCTCCCTCCTCGTCCCCTCGTCTGGGAGATGAAGGGTGAGGTGAAATTGGGCAGAGGTGCGGGGAAAGAGAATCAACCGGGCACTTTTTTTTCTCTTTTGCACACCTTCCCATACCTGTGATGTATCCCACGAGCAGTGCAGCGCTGCAGGGGGCGTTACAGCATGTGACGCCCACCCCCACGTGTGGCTCTAACGTCTCAGATAGAAAGGCGAAGCGCACGCCGATGACCTCACATAGTGAAAAACCCATAAACGACAAGAGCGATACAGCGCAGGCTGCGGCAAACACACAGGATCTATGGCATTTTTTGCAGTCTGCTGTGATAATTCTATTAACTATATTGTCGATATAGGAATCATTACCTTCGTCATTATTTATTAATGAGTTCACCCATATAAGGCTCAGTTGTGTTTCTTTTTTTTAAATCTGTGAATTCAGGTTGACATGAATGTAAATGAGACTATTTTTGATTTGATTCTTTTGTTTTAATTTAAGTGGATTGAAGATGAATAGTAATGTCACATAGTGTAATATATGTCTTATTTAAGTCCAGTAAGAAAGCCACCCCAGGCATTAGGATCATTACAGTGAAGGATCACCTTATATATCCAGTCAAAGAACAGAACAGGGAACACACACAGACACGCACACGTTTTCACACTGAAACAGAACATTATGATGCCATATTTGGTGCTAGAAAAGGGAAATCACCATATCTATGATGCAGACTGCAGTAAGACTTCTAGATTAGCGAGAAAAGCTCTAAACCTCTCGTACCACAGGCTGCAGTGCAGCTAAATTAACCTACCTGGTTATCATGCTTAGCTCCTAGCTCATGCTGCAAAAGATCACTGCTGTTTATATGCCCTGTTGCAGTTTGCCTGCATTGTAAAGTTGTAACTAAAACGAATAATCCAGTTGAACTGAAACTAATTCTCGGATAAACTGCTGCTCGGCCTGTGGACGCCCGAACCCTTCGGATTAACCCAAACCACAGACTAGATAGAGCAATTAAGACTAACAAGATACTACTGAGAAATGCAAACATTTAGTCGCAGGTAACACTGAAACATGACAAAGGAACGTCGTTTATCTGGGGTCCACTGCTGAATCTGCAAGCCTCGCTAGTAGATTTGCTTTTTTTTACGGCAGCGTGCATATCAGTAATGGAGATAAATAGGCTCACTGACCTTTGCTCTTATCACGCATCCGTCCAACTGCCAACGAGATGAAGGGCAGATGAGAGATTTTTAACATATGTCCTGGGAGCTGAGCTCATTTCTGCCTCTGGCAAGCTGTAGGTCTCCCACGGAAACGGATTTACTGCCCACTGTAGACCCAGGAGGCTGCTGAAGATGCTGTTGTTTCTTCTGTTGTTGAGTTGTTTTTGTTTGTGTCGTGTTATTTTTGTCTGTGTTTTTTTAACAATCGGAGTACACTGAATTTTTTTTTGTCTTAATGCACTGTGAAGCGAGGGAGAGTTTCTCTCGACCTATGAGGTCAGGGATGGATGCTATAGACGGCATCGTTGACTGGATGGTTTTTTGTATGGCAGGGAAAAAAAAAACACGCATATATGAAATATATGTAGAATGCATATGAAGAACTTCACCGGAAATGCACATCATATCTGAATATTGATGGAGGTGAAAGAGACTAGGTCGATGAAGAGGATCAATCAATTGAGGTCAATTAGATCCTACTTACCTGTTATCTTGGAAAAGTGTTTCGTAATTTAGGGGGCAGGATGTTGGGGAGTGTTAGGTGTCCAGTAGTAGATTCAAGAGACTGGAACAAATTCTAAATTCAATATCCTATCGCAGCTGTGTCTTTCTCACGTACTGCACGTCCAACAGGCAAGTCCCTGGACAGAGATTTAACTCTAACAGTAGCTGAAGTATGACGGAATGTAAAAGGCCAAAAATGAGGAGGGGGTGCATTTGATTTATTGACCTAAAAGCCCGGTGAGGGGAGGGAACACCTCTAAGACTAAACAAACAGACCTTTTGATTCTTTTGAAACCAATCCGACCCAAAATCCTCCACTGTGCTTTTGAATGTGTCACTCTCTGTTGGAGCGCCAGTGAGGGTTTATCTCCACAGCTTGGTAAGGAGGCTTCTTTACTCCCATCTAACACCATCCACACTCTCCTCACCCTCCCACCCGTCCTCAGTTTTCCAGTGCACTCCCATCCTGACACCCCCTCTCCTCCTACCACATCGCTCCATGGGTGACTATGTCTGGTGTTCCGATCAATGCATGTCTGCTGCTCGCCCCGACAAACGCCACAGATCGAGCCTCTTCTCTCTTTGCCTCCTCGGGCAGCTGAGGCTCGGGCCACCAAATGCGACACCATCAGAAAATAACCACGCCCGAAGAGGAAGTCATAGCTGGCAGGGCACAGTGCATAAACACTCTTATTTGTAGTTTGCACTTCATAACAGTGACGAGATGCATTACTAGCTTGGAAAACGTTGCACAAACACACACATATTTTGAGGGAATAATTTCTCTTTGATAGGGTTTGACTGGATTTTATTGCAAAACCTCATAAAAGATCACAGGAAGCCAGTGTGCTTTTGCTCTGCTATGGAAATATACTGTGCTGAATGCATTCAGTAGGCTGATTTCCATTTTATTTAGAGTAAGATTTGCCTTTTTTCTGCAGGTAGACTCATTTATGGACTTAATATCTATTGAGCAATTTTGGAAAATAATTTTAGGTTTGTTGGTCAGACAAAACAAGCAATTTGTCTCATGTAGTTGTTTAGCAGAAACAATAATTACTCAGGTAATTTAAATTAAGATTTTGAATGCTAATGAATTAAAAGTCATGTGGCCGTGTTTCCTCCCCCTGCTTTGGAAAGCGTGCATGCAACACAGTATGTTTACAGTGGCAAAACTGCACTGAAATTTCTTATATAGGTGCCGTTTGATTTAATACTTTAATTCTTTTTTATCTTATTAATTAAACCTTAGGATGACTGTCTTTTACACAGCAGCGAATCTCTTTAGTTATCATAACGTTAGGGGATTGAGATAAAATGTGACAAGTACTAGAAGCAATACATGTTGTGTCGTCCCGTCCCTTATCCTCCGTGTGCCGTAGGAGCTTTTGGATTTACCCGTAGACGTTGAATAGGTTTACACGAGTAATTTTCTTTTTCAATTTGTGGAAGATGCTGCTATTTAATAATAATAACAAGAAAAAAAATCCCAGGTTAAAAACATATCGAAATCTGTCCTTTAGCTGGAGAGGCTAGTTGCAAGCAGTGTAACACACGCTCTGTTATAAGCTGACAATAAGTTAATAAGAGCATAATTTTAACCTGAACAAGTAAAACCTGTGCCAAAACAGAACTGTAAATGTGTTGATTTAAATCACATTAGGTAAGAGGAGACATACTTTTATATTAAGAAAATGTGAAAAGTGCCAAATGAACCATATTTATAAATCAATACATAGGAAGGGGGTCGGTTTTTGAGAACTAGGTACACTAACAGACAAAGCGCTTCAGTATAGCAGTTTGTTCAATCCCTCTTCACTCCTGCCACAAGACGAGGGACCGCCATGTTAGCCAAGTGTTAGCCTGTCCTCTGGGAACTACTCTTCCCAGGATGCAACAGCACTATGACTCTGGGGCTAGAGTATCAATATAGTGATAGGTTAGCATAATAATGCTAAAAAAAAAATGTGACTAGATAGCATTCTTAAACACAGCCTTTTATAGTTACGATGAAGATGTATTTTGTGGAAATAGATGTTATCTTTTTTGCACGTCTATATTGCATGATATCAAAGTGAAGCGTGGACAAAAAAAAAATCAAAGAAACAAAAAAAAAAGAAAAACCATTTAGGAAGTGTGTGTTGTTCATTTTTCGGAGACAAATCTTTGCATGCCGATAAGGGGTAGAGCATTTTGGTATTGTTTTACACGCGTTCAGATGTTCGTTGTTTTTCGACGCAGTCGCGTCAAGTCCCGGTCCACCTGCTGCAGGTGAAGACGATGTTTGATTTCGATGTCACGACCGAGTGAGTATTTTGTCGCTAAGCTGTCTAACCTTCCTCAGAGGGATACGAACAAAACTCTCGAACAAACCTAAGACTATTTTGCTACTTGTTGAGCGAGCTTGGACTAAACGCTTCTCAGTTCCTACTTAACTTTCGAACAATTTTTTGAAGACAAAAAAAAAAAAATCTGGATTTATTTTCAAATAATAGACTGAGATTGTCCATGAATGTACTCACCTCTCCATAAGTTTGCATATCACTCTTCTGACCACTGGCGTGCAGTAGAGGCTTACATGTGTTTTAGTGTGTCTCTGTAATCTAACCTTACTAACCCCTCGACGCACTCTGTCAGGCTCTCAGTATTAATATGTTGTCTGTCCTTTGAGCCCCCACGCTCTGAGCTCTGGCTTGTCTTGTCATTGAATTGCACCTTATTGACCTCAAATATGACATGGAGCATCTCTGGTCCCGCCCCTCGTGGTCGCGAGAGACTCGTAAAGAGAGACAGCGTGTGAGAAAGAGGCGAAAGCTCCCCTCCCCTTACTTTTAAATCCAAAATAACGCGCAGACACACTTTGCTGTGCGCTGCGCCGCCTGCCTCCCTCGGGTGACTCGCTGCAGAATTTGGGACAGATTGTGTTTTCGCTCCCTTAACATGCGATCCAAGGCTCTGATCTCGGGGAGAGAGAGAAAAAACAGCACTGAACATTGCCAGTGTGGGTTTTGAATCCTGATCGCCCTCCTCCCCTCTCTCTCTGTCTCTCTCTGTCCTAAGTTTCCCAGTTCAGTTTAATTAGATGCCATTGGCTTCGGTGTCAAATTTATTTGTTTTCTTTTTTGCCAAAGTCTCTCTCCGGATTCGCAGTGCGGTCATGCTTTGTATGCTGACAGATGTTGTCATGGGAAGTGGCCCGCTGCTCACAAAACTAACTGAGATGGGGAAACGATCGGGATTTCCATTATTGCTCCTCGGTGACACGTTTGCACTAAACCTTCTGCTGTTACAGTGCACGGCACGCCGAGCTGAGGTGGGGGTCAGTGTGCGAGACTACTGTAGATGGTAGCCTTACTGTAGGTGTTCATTCAGCATATGTATTTAGATGTGCATGCTCCTCTCTCTCTCCCGCCCTCTGAGTTTGTCTGCTTTAGGCCCGCTCCGTGGTGTCTGTGTTGCGGCGTAGCCGGCTAGCCATGTTTTATTCATGTCTTATTTTTGTTGGCTTTTGTTTTTACTGTACCGTGTAGAGGAATGCAAACTCAACTCTAACCTGCTCGCCAGGTGACCTCATTGCTTCTCAGTGGGTGTGTGGCTCTCCGACATAGTCCCCAGCTCTTGTTTTCTGCCCCCCCGCCTACCCTCCACCGCCACGCCTACCTCCACAAACCCACTCTCACCCACACCCACCACCTTTTCAAAACAACATCTAAGACATCTTTTGGGACCCCACCCCCTTTTCCACCCTTCTTCCTCCCCTAACTCGGGCCCCATCGAAGCACCAGCAACTGTAGACTGCATTTGTCATATCACTGTTTTTCTGTTCCTTCTCTCGTTTCTCTGTTTATTTTTTTCCTGGTTTTGATTTGTACTGTATGCTCTAACCCAAACCAGTTTTAACAAAATGCCATTTTCTGTATGTAGCCTGTTTACCCTACTCCACCCCCACCCCCCTACACACACACGCACACACACACAAACACAATATCCTCCATGCCCTCTTTTTTTGCACTTTCACTGCCCACTCCTCCTCCTCGCCCAAACATACACACACTTTCCTCCTCCGCCTCCCACGAGTCTCTTCTCTCGAGTGCCAAAATAGAACAGAGAGGAAAAAAAAAGCAAAACAAAACAAAAAAAAAAAAGACAACAACAACTACTACTACCATTCCAAGCGTTTCTTTGAGTTGTTCTTGTGTGTCGGACATCCATCCTGGAAGCACCCATGAAGCCAGCATGCTCCGCCCTCATAACATGATGTCGCTCATGACGCCTCAACTGAACAGCACCTTGCCCCCCACCACCACCACCTCCTCCTCCTCCTCCTCCTCCTCCTCCTCACCACCCCCACAGAGCTAAACCCGACAAGGATTAACCCTTCTGCAGGTTGGCTACCTACCTACTGTCCTGCCTCTCAACCTACCTTAAAAAAAAAAGCCCTACCGCTCATGCCAGCTGCTTTCCTAATTCTGTCATTTCTTCAGCCTGTGGGACTTCATTGATTGTGTGCCATAGTGTTGGGGGCACCTTTCACTCTCCTCACCTCCCCCTTCTTTCTATACCCCCACCTTTCTCTCTCTCTCTCTCTCTCTATAACCCCTCTCGCTCTCGCTCCATTTGATTTTTCTCGATGGGAAAGATTAAAAAAAAAACCTCCATTTTTCTAATGATGATTTTTTTTGTTGTTGTTTAACATCCAAACCACGCACGCCGACACATGCACCGCCCCCAGTGCAGTGGTGTGGGGAGTGTTTACGCACCGTCAGCTGCGCAGCCATCCTCTGTCTTCTTGAACTTTTTGAACTTTCACCCCCTCATGAACTTTATTGACCTTCTTCCTCCTCCTCCTACCCCCCTTCTGTGTTCATCCAACTGTTTGGACGATAACTCTCCATTCCATCCCCAAAACCTCTCTGAGACTGTGCAATGCTAGCTGATATGATTGGATTTTTTTTGTTTGTTTGTTTGTTGCTCACCATTGGGGACAGTTCTCTGAGCTATAAGTCAAAAAAAAAGAACAAAAAAAAAAAACCAACATATGAAAGGAAGAAAAAAATATTTTAAAAAAATGCAGACAAACAAAAAAAGGATAAAACACTAAACAATTGTTTCTCCACAATTTCATTTTTTTTCTCTCTCATTGTAAATATTTTTGTCAGATTTTTTTGCCGAGGTGTAAAGAGAGAAGTGTTGAGCAGAAAGGGGCGGGCAGCATAAAGAGAAACTAGTGGACGCGGTAGACGATCGTAACACTTTTCATCCTCTGTATCCGATACTTAGGTCTGCCTGTATAATCGGCTATGCTAGTTCTACTGTGTTAACCTGTGCTGTTGTTATTAGTGTTGATTTACCTACTGTATTCGCTGTTTAGCGTTCATGTCGGCTAGCCAACTTTTTAGATAAGTGTGCTCATCAAATAATAATACTAATCTTGAGAAATAGTCCGAGCCATTCTCAACGTAGGCTTGCTTTTGTACATTTGTTGATGTTTCTTAACAGTGAGTTGTAGTGGCACTAGTATCTTTTTAATCATCAAGCCATAGTGATTGAAAACGCTTGGTCATGTTAGAGACATATCATCGTGGAAGACGGCTCGACTCAGCTCCTCCAAGTCGGAGAAAGAAAAACAAAAACAGGGAGGCGGAGACGGATAATTGAAAAACAAAAGAAGAAGAAATTAAGCTCCTCCCGGGCTACAAAATGAGGAAGATGAGCTGCTAACTTTTGTGCAATACAGTCCTAGTTTACATAACATAGAAGGATAGTTTAGAGATGATTAACCTCTGCAGGTGCCGCTCAACCACTCCGCTGCCTGCAGAACCAAACTTGTATCATATCTCCATATTTCGCCTCCACATCAAAGACATGTTGAAACTATTAAAGTGACTGTGTGAGATTAGACTCCACCATTTCATTGCATTGCTCTGAGCTCCACTCTTGATTTATGCTGCCTGCCCCATCGCCCTGAGAACACCACATGAGCTATTTATTTCTCAGACTATTATTATTATACTATTAATAAATAACAACACAACGAGAAAAAGGGAACGACTGGAAAAAGGTGAATTAATATTATAATTGTTTTGTTTTTATTTTTTAGTATTTAGTGGTTGCTTTTAACAACATTCATTAACTGACTTAAAGATTACTGAATATTTAATGTAATTGTAGCATTGTGTTTGTAAAGAGAAAAAAACCTAGTGAGTTGTGTTTCTTGACTTGTGGATTACCAGTGAAGTGGGCAATCTAGTGCTAATATATATGAGGTCTTTTTTTAAGGATTCTTATTTTGCGACAGCAACAGCAGTCATTATAAATGTTCATTTTAGCATCACCTGTCTTCCGTTGTCTTATTCTTCACCTTCCACCACACTCTGCATCATCACAGTAACACATCGCAAGTCTGAGGGTGGGGACCGAATGTGTGTTTGGGCGAATCGAGGTGCGCGCGCGCGAGGGTGTGTGTGTGAGCAGCGTGTGTCGTGAATGTGTGCAAGTTAACGAACCTGTGTTTATTTGTGCGTCTATGCAAAATATGGTGCACGCGTGCGTGTCTGTCTGCTCACACGTGTGAATCTGCGTGCGTCTGCGTGGATGTGTGTGTGTGCGATTGTTGGGTCTGTGAGGGGGGGGTTCGGGGTGGGTGTTGTGTCCAGTGTCCACCAAAAGCTAAAACTTGTCAGGCTTCCATACTTCCTGATGGAACCTCCTGACGTTATAGCTGCAAACCCTCATCATGTGATCTGACTCAACTCGACTGTCCATAACCCCTTCAGTCACCTGACCAACCAAATCAACCAATCACTGTCCACCACTACCGCCTTCCCCCTGCGCCATCCTTTGCTGCACACCACGTCAGCCCCATGTGATGTTCTCCATTGATAACATACTACTGTCACAATCTACTGTTACATGCTGACAGATCTGGGGATAAATACGCTTGCTTTCGTTCATTCGAGGTGTTTTCACCTTTGAGATTATTACTAAGCGCTCCTTAAATCAAGGCAAGTGTCCCTCAGGTTGTTTGACTTTGAAAGGATCAGTTCACCCATATTTAATGTTTGCCCAACAAGTGCAATATCTGTCAATAATTTATGCTCCAAAACGCTGGAGGTGAATGGAGTTAAGTCCGCGGTGGTGCTCACAGCATTAAAAATGCATATGTAAATTTAATTCACATTTGTGTGCATATATTTCTGAGGAAACCACAGCCCTGGCTGCAAACAGCTTTGCTGTAGTTTCCGGGACTGATAAGTCAAAACACCACGTGAAAAAAGACAGGTGCTGTCTAACCATCTAAAAAAATTTGAATGTGACTTGAACAGTTTGGGAGATTTTAGCTGTACAGAAGTCAGATTTCCCTTAAATAATAATGAAGGAGATAGGCTACATTTACCAAATAACAGCAATGTCCTTCTCTGTTATACAAGAAACTCCTTGTGAATAATTTTATGTAGAAAGTATTTTCTCTCTGCCAAACTACAGCTGCTAACTGTGGAAGGAAACGTGCATCTACCTGTGACAAGACAGCTGAGCTGTGATGATGGTTAGCTACATGTTTCCTTTTAGTAGCAGATAAAGTTCCATAGAAGTGAAATAAAAATTACATAAGATACACAAGATAATAAAGATAATTTTTTGTTTGTTTTTTAGTAATCTTTTCAAACTCTAAGAAAATAGCAATCGACAAGTACAAATTTGGATTTATAACATTGAAATTTTGAGGTACGTAACTTGAAATGTTGAGATGATAACTCAGCCTCGCAAAAATAAATAAATCAGCGACTCAAACAGGCTTCAGTAGTTACTGCTGTGGTGTCATCCAATCATATTTTTTGGTTCCTTGATCACCGCAGCCCGGGTACCGTATAGTTTTATTACACCGAAAAGCTGGTATCTCAAAATTGGGCAGCTTACACCAAATAAATCGAGATGGATAAATAACTCTACGGCCCAAAATGTCAATTTGATTTTGAGAAGAACTGTACCTCTAAGTAAGAAACTATTTCTTGGATAGCTTGGATGAACTGACCCGTTAATCAGCCTGAGGTGGACTTGTTCCGTTTAATTTCTTCAGCGTCATTTAATGAAATTTAGTTTGTTTTCCCCAGAACTGCATATTACATTTCTACTGTTCATACTACTGTACGTGCTGCATACTACCTTACCAGGTCAGAATCCACCTTAACCTGTCTCCATGCCAACCACAGAGGAGCCAGTTGCATGGCAACCGGCTTCCGCCACAACAAAACAACCTACCAACCAGCCATCTTTCTCAACTGATGAGGCCACGCCCACCTGACTATGATCGCTCCGTAGAAGAAGAGATAGAGGAAGAGAGAGGATAGGAGGAAGGGATGACAGATGAAAGAGATGTAGTTGTGATTCTCAGGGTGTCTTATATAGATCTACTGTTTAGTCTGTTCTCCAGTCTCTCACTGGTGTCCTGTTGCCCCTAACTGAGCCCAAAGACGATCATGTCCTCCTCTGATAAAGTCCTTGTTTGATTGACTACTGACCAATTCCTCTCCATCAGTTGATTGATAGTATTGATTGACCAATTCTCTTGAGAGCTTGAGCTGAAAGAAGCTCAGCACTGTAACTAATGTTTACAACCCAAATGAGACCAACAACGCTGTTGAAAGAATGTCTAGGACTTAAAAAAAAAGGGAAAAGGGGAACAAAAGAGAGACAAATCTCTGAAGAGTACTTATTTCTAAATGATGGAACTTTTCGCTTACTTTCTATGTGACATGAGGTAATGTAATTTTTTTCAGTCATTGCATGTGACTATTTTTATTTGCAATGAAACTGTTAGAATGGATGGTACATTTGTGACGTCAGTGCAACGTTCAGACACCGACGCTAGAAGTCAGCCGGTGTCTACTAAGTGTTTTCATGTCGCCGTGAGGAGTGCTTATGGACCAATGAATGCTAAATGTGTGACCATACAAAGCTGTAAAGGTTTTGTTTATTTGTACATGGTTATGGGTAAAATAAACCATTGAAGCAAATTAACATCTTTAGTCTTAAGGAGTAAGCCCTCACACGTTTATTTGTAAAGTCAGTGCCGAGAAAGGTGCTTTGGATAATGCAGTTGAGGTAAGTTTCAACAGTTAAAGCTGGTGATGTGCTTCCATTCAAACACTCGGAGGGCTCGATGTAGTTGTGTCAAAGTGTTAGAGAGGGTCAAGAACGAAACAAAATCAGGGTTCGATCCACTTCCACACATCACCATCCTCCCTACGACAGGCATCACAATCAAGAAGGGGTGAGCTTCAACTCTCTGACATATCCATCTACCCACAATCCTCCTGTGCACCAGAGTCATCCGATCAACAAACACCTGCACCCCCGCATCCACCATGTCAGCTCCTGTGACCTCTGGCCAAATCGTCTCAGCCCTCTCCATGCCATCGGCTAAGTGGCTAGTGGCTTTTTTGAGCTGTTGTTGCAAAGCCTCCTGGGAAATGGAGTCACAAACAATTCACAGCATGGTCTGACCAACCTCTTGTCACTCTCCTCCCACACACCTTTCTCCATACGCCACTAAAGAAGTTCCTCCGGCTTCCAGCGAGAAGGTCATGCCATTTTGTTCCTGATGGGTTAGGTCGCCGCAAACAAGAACATATACGGGCTTTCCGGGCAGCTAAAAATACAATATGGAAAAAATGGGTAAAAGTGACTTTTTACAGTCAATTCTTACATAGTACATTCAGTATTAAGATCTAACCACTGAGATGTTCATCGCTACACTTTGCACTATAAATGCTATGTGAAACTTTACTTTTTTTGTTGTTTATGAAGCTAGAAGTGCTGTTGGAGCAACAACTACTTTATTGGTAGACTTTAACCTCAAACGTGGAAACGCTGGAAAACAGTGGGGCTGGCAAAAAAGCTCAAAATAATAGGGCACATTTCAGAAACGATATCTCAAGTACAGTGATTTACCGGTCATATAAAAAATTACAACCGATATTCAGGGTTTAAACTATTAACTTTAGGGTCCAATCACACTGTTGCACTACTATAGAACTCGAGCTGACCTGATGTGGCTCTAAAATGAAGCTGTAGATACAAACAAGTCAAAACTCCTTTAGACGTACATGACGTAACTGTCTGTACAGCTAACAGCATCTTCTTAACGGCATTTCCTGCGCAGGATGTGACTTAAAAAAAATACATTTGACTTAATTAATTCTAAATGATGCAACTCAACCAAATTGATCACTATATTATAACATTATTTCTGACTATTAGGACCAAATACCACAAATATGTGTGCCAGACTCTCCGACAAATCCGTTCAAACTGAACTTACTGACAAAAGCATCAGTCACAGAGACCTAGACACCACCTCCCTGTCACCAGGTATAACTGGTCACAAACAGCGTGCAGGGAAAAACGTAATGTGATTCTTCTGGTTGCGGGCAGACTGAGTGCCACGTTTGCTTGTAGTTTGTATGAAAGAAGCTGACTTGCCTGCAAATACCTGCAGTATGCCTGCAGTGAAACTGGAAAAATTGAGTCGCACACCAGAAATGGTGATGGTTTGCTTTCAAAGTAAAAGCCTTATTGCTGGAACCAACCGTTTTCAAAGGCTGAAACCTTTACTTTGAAAAATCTCTATTTCTGGTTTTCATCACACATTACAATGTTTCACTACCACTTGATGAGTAGTTTGCTGTTGTTTGCAGACAACTTCCATGCGAACCTCTGGTGACCGCAGCAACCTGCCAGCAACCAAAGCAACTGCTAGGAGGTTCTGGTGCAGTATCGTATCCGTATTTGCAACCTGTTTCCAACTAGCATCTTTCACATTATGAACCACTTACAAGTCAGTCTTGGAATACACGAATTTCCCTAGCAACCAGCAGGTGAGGGGGTGTCAATGATCAGATTTAAAGCCTAAATGAACGGGGCATGAGCAATTAATTTTACAGTGATTACCAGCAGGGGTGGATCCAGGGATTTAGGGCCCAGGAAAATAATATATCACTTTGTGCTCCCAAAGTGAAAAAACATGCCAACCCTACAAATATAACACTTTGCAGACATGAATCAATATTCTGCTTAGATAAGTAGATGTTTTTGTTTTATGCAAGATTGATGAGATATGTGGAAGCCATTGTTTCAAAAATTAATAGTTTTAATGATAGTGTTCTTTATTTATTTTACATTGATACATCACATGCAAAAACTTTCTGTATTGAAGGAAATTTAAATTCACAGCTATAAAATTCTGTTAAAAAAGGTTTTAATGTGCTTAAACATTTGATTTATAATATAAAGTATTGACAAATATACCTTAAATAATCTTTTGCATATTAATTTTCAAACAAAGTAACATAGCTCTCTTCTTCAAAATGCTCTTTTCCTTTGGGTTTTTTTGGGTTATAATGATAATGTATTATTATTACAAGATAAATAGTATGTAGGAAAAAAATACATTTCCCAGCAGGCATCCTGTAATCAGACATGCAAGAACCGACCTGCTTCTTCCGATATCAGGGTGGCAGGTTCAGTGTCTGGAGTGTGGGTATGGGGAGGTGGGAGTGGCCTGATCCAGGTGTGTTTGGTCTGTCAGCAGGTCGGTATATGTACAGATGGTCTGCCTGCAGCGATTTCATGTTGGCTAAAACAAAAACCACAAACACATTATTGTCTCTTAGAAAAGAAGTGTGCTAACCAACACTTGGTTACACTTGGAAAGGCAAGCAGCATCTTTAATTCTGAATTCACTATCAGTTTAATTTCCTGCTGTCCCTCTTTTCCGGTTTGAGACCCAGACTTTGATTTTAACCACCGTATCGTCTTACATCTGTACCGCTCAGTGTCAACTAGGAGCTAAAAGTACTTGTTAAGTAAACATTATCTTATGGTGACAGGTTCATTATTTTTCATTTTAAAAAAAGAGAGACTAATTAACTGTTTCAAGTTTAAGTTTATTTCAAGTTAATTTATTTATATAGAACTTTTAAAAACAACAGCTGTTGACCAAAGTACTCTGCAATAAAATAGTCAAATCAGAAGACTTACCAAATAACATAGAATGTAGATTAAGAGGAAATAGAATCATGGAAAGAACAATAGTAACAAAATAAAAGTGGGTAGTATCCAGTGTTGGGAAGGTCCTCATATGCAGGGGCAATGTGTTCCATAGTTTAGGAGCAGTCATGGCCCGGTCTCTTCTGTGTATTAATCTGGACCTTGGGACAACCAAGCCCATTTGGTCTGCCGACTTCAAGGATCTTGGGGGAGAATACCAGGTTTCACTGATTTCTAGTGTGCCTGTCAGTCTTGGGCCCTTCATCGCTTTGCCAACCCATTAGCAGATATACATTTTCCCCATGCTAACTGGTCTCTAGGCCTCTGTGATTGGGGTTTGAATTGAATTACCACTGTCACTGAACAACCCTTTGGCATTTTGCAGTGAAACCTTGTTGAGCCATTAAGAACAAATACTCACACAAGTCTATTTTTTGTGCTGAACAGCAGCATGAAAATCCAACATATGAACCTAAGACAGTATATACAGGGATGCTTTGCCTTGCTGTTGGGACTTTTGAATGCAGCAGTGCAAACCAGCTCTCAGGATAATAATCTCATATAATGGAAGAGGCCAAATTTTAATCAGGTAAGGTTTTTGCTTTTACTTCAAAGCAAAACTTGTTTGATTACGGCTCAATGAGCTAAATGTTGATTCAAATAGTTACCACGCCCAATATCTTTCCATGCTGATGTCATTTATAATATATTCACAATATATCAATAAAAGGTGGCATTTGGCTTCATAGTTAACACAAAATAGCCTCCACTGTTTGGCGTCTCTTACTTAACAGAAAGGATTCTTTCTGGCTCCAGGGCACTTCTTCCTCCAATAAACATTTTTGTGACAAAACATATTCACTCAGATGCTTTTAGAAACAAAACAACATCTTTCTGACAGTTACTTTGAATGTGTTCACGTCATTTCTCCTCATCTGTACAATGGCTTGAAAATTGGCCACTGGGATGTACTCCAGTTTTAAGATGAATTACACTGTGCCTTAGTTCAGCTCCCAAAGGTGCTGTAGGTTGTGTCAGAACCACAGAGTGCTTTGAGGAGACAGAAGGTAAGTGGATTAGTGGCTTGAGAGAGGTTAAAGGATAATTTTGTGTAAGAAGATGAATGCAAACGCTCTACCTGTGTATAGCTAGGAACACATGGTTTATAAATATATATA